ACGATGAAAAATTGTAGGGTAATTTAATCTGATATAACTTTGTAAAAAAAAGAAAAATCATATAACGATTCATTTCATCCCATTTTAAAGCGTGAAGCATCTACTTCGACATTCGTGGATTTGTTTCTTCTTTTTTTTGTTCGAAGATTATTTTACATCAACTAAAACGAGAGAATAATTTTTCCTCGAAACTTGTAAAAAATTCGAACGCACTCAAAAACATTAAAAAAGTTTTTTTCATGAAAAAGTCCACCGTGGTCTTGAAGATTGAAATTTTCTGTTTACAACTACTCTTTGGAAACTCGTTGTACAAGTTTCTTTGTTTTCTTCGTTTTACTTGGAACGCTGGAGTTAAGTGACGGAATGTTACTTGAATTTTTCTCGATGGACTTTAATATTAATAATAATAAAGTCAATATCGTATAATTAAATCTTGTGGGAAATGACAATATTATCTGATGCGTGTGAATCTAATTGCAAGAAAAAATGTTTTAATGTTTTTACACACGGTCGAATTTTTCGAATTCTCGAAAAGAAAAAAAAGAGTATCCTCTCACTTTTCCCGTTCGCTACGTGAGATAAGCTTCGAGAAACACGCAGTTCCGCAACTGTGAGAGTAGCTTTAAAATAAGAACGGATCGTTCCATGATCTTTCTTTGCAAAGTTACATCAGTTTAAATTACCGAAAAGTTTTTATTTTCAGTTATGCTCTTCGCTACAATTTTCATTGTAAAACTCCAGGAAAACAACCTACAATTGATATCTTTCTGCAATCTATTCCATTTCATGCGACTTTGCACCCAAAGGAAAAAACAATGTAACATCCGAGATATAACGGACGAAACAAATCTCCAACGAGAGACTCCAGAGCCTCGTAAGAGGTTTAATCGAATCTCTGGATCGATTGTCGTGATCGTGGGAAATTAGAAACTCCGAACCGCGATCACGCCGTGTATCGGTTGCACCCGCTGAATGCGTATTTGTCACGGAAATAATAAAAGGTGAAGTCGCGTGTAGTTGGAACATTAGGGGTGGCATCGTTAAACCGCAGGGTAATCGATGTCCTGCGAGGAGGATTCTTCTTGTTGCCGGTGACTTCCACGGCTGTTCATACATTTTCATCGGGAAAACAGAGGGAAGCGATACGTTACGAGTTCACGGAGGTGGCGCCTCGCCAACGTTGTTTCGATGTCACGGTAGAGAAACTTCAACGTCAATGGATACTGATAAGAGCGGCGAGTTTTGCCCGGAAGTTGGAGGGACAAGGATTTAGACCGTGGGACGAGGTCTACCTGTACTTTGGAAACTGAATATTCGTACGTGACAGTTTAAGTAGTTTCCACGGCGAAATTGTCAACGATGAATAGGTCCTGCCGTTTTGGAAGTTCCGTTTAATTGAATCGATCGGGGAACGTGAAAGGAATCTGGAATATTTACAACTGGAATATTACATTTAAATTCCATTCTTGCAACTGCGTTTCGCGCAAGAATTTCTCCTTCATGTTAATATCGTTTTAAGCAGTATTACTCGAATACAGCCGCAAAATATGAGAAATCTTAAAATATGAGAGTGCAATCCGAATACGCTTCACGTGTATTACGTATCAAGCATCTTCCAGGTAACATAAACTTGATATAAACCCGTATATTCCCTCTTCCTTTCCCTTGCAATTTCTTTCGCTTTCAAACTAATCATTCGGTAACGTTCGCTCTAAATGTCGAGTGGAATCTATGGATTTGTGGCAAGTGCTTGAAACTCAATCGCTCGTAATAAGCAACGTTGCCGCAACAATGAAACTGTAACGTCGTCGTCGGCAAGCAAAGTGGGAATAAAGTTTCGAAACGGGCGAGCAGAGGAGTTGGCATTGTACCCGGTCTCGATGCCATCAATGGAATATTAAAGAAAAATATTCAGCGTGATAATAAGAGTCGGTGGCGCGCTCATTCCATTCCCAACAGTTTTATCTCGTATTTTTTACTCGGAACGCTGAGCGCTTTTCTCGTCGCGCTACGTTCCTCCGCGCGATGGCGGCAGATACTCGTATCGCTCGTAAACTTTCGTTATAACCTCTTGTTCTCTCGTTATCCCCCCGCTGAAAAAATCAGCGACTCGATCTCTCCCGCGTTTAGTCGGTAGATCACTACTTCTAAAATGCGAATTTCCATCGGAATCCTTGCTCGCCCGATGGACATATTTATTATATTACTTTCCATAATACGGTACGCCACACGCCGGTCCCTTTTGCCTCCCTCTTTCTCTCGTTTATGGCGGACGCGACGTTAAAGCGAAGCTTTTACGGCACGGGTCTCACGACGTCGAGACACGAACGACGCGTTTCAATCGGCAAGGCGTCCACGCGGACGTCCAAAGCGGGCGGATCTATTATTCATTGCTGGCCTGAGCGAACGGGCCGTTATCGCCCGGTAATATTCTTCTCGAGTCGCGATCGCGTCGTTTCCTCGTCAATTACCATCGGGTATATCAGAATGAACTCAACGTGGTTCTCGTCGAGCCACGCTTCTTTGTCGTTCGCGATTGCGGACCGCAATCTTACGTTGTATCCCTTTCCCTCTCTATCGATCGCTGAAATAGTTCACGCGGCGCGTGCGATTGAATCGCGCGACGTAGGCGAATGTCAGGAAAAGAAAAAAAGGAAACCAGATTCCAAAGCCGCGAGGGATTTTCGTAATACCGGCGGGGACAAAGAGCCGACCTGATCACGGCCTAGATAGACGTTGGTTCGTTCGTTTCTGGCCATCTCGCCGACTGCGGCTCGTTCGAGCCACCAGAGCGCCTAGCTGCTCGTCCGCCCCCTCATATACCGACGTAAACGGCCGTGGCTCGCTTCGCTGCACGCCATTACTGTGTCCCGGGGGCCAAAACTTCGCGAAAAATGCTTGAATTTATGTCCGTACCCCCTCCCCGCTAACCACTTTCCATCCCTCCCCCTCGCTGCCTTCCTTTCTCAAATCCCCGCTGTTCATCCCTCTATTTTCTCTCGCCTCTTCCCTTTCATTCGACGCACGACAAGGAGAACTTAACCGAACAGCCAGCCGGCCGCTCTTCTCAAGTTTGGAAATTATTTGCGGCCGCCCATTGTCCTCGCTCGTTCGCCGGGCCAAGCTAGCGCCAACCCCCGTTAACCAGCCCCGGCTATTTATTATTATCTGCTATCGAGCTCCTCGTCCGGAAACTATTAAGCGAGCCAAAACTTT